ATGAGATCAAAAAGGTGTTAAAGAACAACTTTAATTCCGAAAGCCATATCGAAATATTTACCGTTTTTGAGTTATAAAGCGAAAAATTTCAAAGGCTCTAGATCCCTAATTTTAGGGGCCAGCCCCTTTTAAATGATATCAAATGAAAGCTCTTGCTATTATGCACAACTTTTATTCTACATGTTTTAACAAAATATTTTTAGTTTTAAAGATATAAAGGAAAATATGTCAAAATTTTTGCTCTTTTCCGCGTTCTAACTTTTGACCCCTCTCTAGCGCCATTTTTAATGCAAAAATCAAAAAACAAAAACCGATGTGCACAACTTCAATGCTTCTTCTTTTCAATTTCAAAGGGTTTTGTGCTCCAATTATTACAGTCTCAGAGCCTTTGTCTGGAAACCAGAGGCAGAAAAATTTCAATCAAAGGGGAATAACTCGTGAACAGAAGGTAATTTCCGAATTGTATTACAGTATTCTGAGAGTGTTTTGCAAAGTCTAAAAGCTCTGAAAATTTGAACAAAATCCGTTCAGAAATGAGGAAGATATGAAGCTTCAAAGTTGGCGTCTAGGAAAAAAAAAAAAAGAATAATAAGAATAATCTTAACCATCAGAATCAGTAGAAGGTCTTCCGTTGGAAACGGAAGACCTTAATCAGCAAATCCATTGCTTTTGTGTTGCCTGCCCATATACAATGTGTTTTTTTTTTAAATGAGATAAAATTTGCAGTTCATAAAAAATCTAAAGCTTAAGAATCAGGTTAAAGAACAAACTTTATTTATTTCCATAGAAGTTATCACACCCATTCAATAGAACAATCCAAGAAAAAGGCGCAAAGATAATTTACTTGTGACATTTGGTGCGAAATGATTGTGTCATCCCTTTGGTAGAAGACAAATGGACTGATCCAGTAGTTTAAAAATGCAAAAAAAATGTTACACGGACATGTTGGTATCATACATGTGATAAGTTCTGGACCCAAATACTGTACAGTAGCCTTAAAAATACTGGAATTTGGATGAAAATACTGTACAAAGGTCATGAAAAAACTGTACAAAATAACAACAAAAATGTTAAATAAGGATTAGATTTAATACATAATTTAATTCAAATTGACATGTTTTATTGGTTGCAATCAACTTTTGCAGCTTTTAAAATTTGAGTAGGGGGCTCATATTCACAGCAATCTCCAGTGATGTACATAAGAGACTGTCTATTGTATCTTGTGACAGTCTTTGCCTCCAGTCTGTCTGTATTTTCCGCATGATGCTGAAGCATCTCTCAGAATCTGTTTGAGTGGGCAATGCTAAAGGCAGCAAAAGAAACTTTGCATACTTGGATTAATTCTCTCCACATGTAAAAATTAGTGCTGCAAATCATGCAAAATACATGATGCACACTTACTGCACTAACTTTTGCCCATGGAAATTCTGTAACCCATGTTGGATTGAATTTCGTTTCCCCCTATCCCCATCACTTAGAGATGGTTCAGACTCGTGTCTTTTTCTCTTAGACATGTCTCTCAAACTGACGAAATTCTAACAAGTTTTAATTGCAAACCACCCTGTAAAAACAACTCAACATAAAGGAAAATTTGATATGTTTTAATGACATAGTAATTATCGCGGAGAACAGTTCACACCTTCCAGCATGGTATTTTGTTTACAGGCACAGTGAGTCACGCATTGGTGTTGCGAGAATGGAAGAAAAATGGCGGTTTTTTGGGTAACAGTTCAAAATACGGTACAACAATTCATTTCACGTGAATTTTTGTGTACCGCCGGGACACCTTGACGGGGTTGCAAATACTGTACATTTTCTGTACAGCCTGTACATATCACATGTATGTGGTATAAAGAATTGCAAAGAATAAACAGGTACATGCAAAAAAACTGAAGAAAGTAAACACATCATTATTTTGCATCAGTAATATGATTCTTTCTTCTGCAAACTGTATTTGTTTAAATGCAGGTAACAAATTCCGATGTAAATCAGCTTGCACAAAATCTAGCTCACTAAGTATGATCACTTAGTTTTGGACCAAGGAATTTTGATCCTTATAATGCCTGATGCACGTGGGGTCAGGCAAAATTGCATGTCAAATTAGAGAGAAATAAATGAAGTTAGTGTGAGGAGATAACTGGTAGAGCATCTCTGATCAAGCAGGTGTTATCTATATGTCTTGGGAATTGAGCAAAGGAATCAGCATCTTAATTCCTTGTGTTGGATTAAATAGTTCTTGTTGGCTAGCCTAACTTTCAAGATAAATTTGATGTAAAGTAATTAAAACTAATTTGATGTTGTATGATATAATTAAAACTAATTTGATATTGTATAATATGATTAAAACTTAGTTAATTAGTTTTAATTTTTATATCTTTACAACAAATTGCAGAGTGTCATGTCTCACTAAGATGACAATTTTATAGTCTAAAGAATAATTTGTTTTGATGTTTTTTTAGGCTGTAGTGTTAATCAATCATGAAATATATAATAAACAAAGCTGCAGATGGGCATTTGTAAATTAAGCTCTAACACAACCAGTTGATAAATATATGGCATATATTTGTTATAATTAATACCTACACCACAGGAGATGTATATACTTCAAACATTAATATAGGGAATGGAAAAATCTGACATTGAAATCTTTGTATCAAGGTTGACATGATTTTCTTCCACTCTAAACTGTTTACGATAATTAAACAATATTTGACGGGCATATCATACTGTGGCAGGGCACATTATTAACACATCAGTTGGAATAAAAGCAGAAATATTTTTTTATATGGTGTATAAGTATAGTATTCAGGATTATAATAATTAAATTGCAGGGGACATGTTTTAACAGCAGTGGCAGCTTGTGAATTGTTGAATTGTTTGATTGCCTCATTTCAGTTTTAAACATGTTACTTAAGAGTTTTTAGGTCACCTGAGTCACTCAGGTGACATTTTGCTATATGTTTTCATCCGTTCTGCACTAACATTTAAACATTTTCAGCTTCTCAGGAGCTGCTCAATCAATTTCAACCAATTTTGGCATATAGCATTGATGAGTGAAGGGGAACAAAAGTTATGAATTTCAAGGTCCTTGCCCCCTAGGGGCCTGAGGAGGTGGGGCTGAAAGCATCAAAATCAATGCATGGAGTCTTTAAAAATCTTCTTGACTCCCAGACATCAAAGTCAGACTGTTGGCATGATTGTAATAAGCATTTAGCCCTCTACCAAAATTGTGAAATTCATGGCCACAGGGTCAGGGGTTCTGGTGCTTGGGCGGGGTCCTGTTGAATACAATTGAAAATGCATTATTTCTTAAAAAAATTTCTCCTCTGATCCAGGGTATTAAGGCGCTAAAGTTTTTTTTCTTTTGGTTTACGACTCTGCCAACCCTAATTTTCACCAATCATGAAAATAAAAATAATGTCTTTATTCTGAAATATAATTTTTCCCGATTTTTCTCAGCTGAACGATTTGTTTTAAAATTTAGAATGCATCTAAGTCAAATAAGCGCTTATCAATAATTGAGACCTTTACAAACATTTAGATGACCATAAATAAACACATGTGCAAGCCCAAAATGGCAGTAACTGTCATAAGAACAAGGTAATTCCCCACTTAAAGTAATGGCAGACATTTGAAGAACTTTTTCTACATGAAAAAGTAAATCAAATCTGGGTGTATGATGCCCTTTACCATCATTTCTCCAATTGCAATATCTCAATTGGCTAAATTCGAACTGGAATATTGGAGAGTGCCCAAGCCTAACCTAACACAAATAATATTTATGCCCCCTTCAAAGAAGGGATGGCATATTGCTTTGCTGCTGTCTGTCGGTCGGTCTGTCTGTCTGTCGGTTCACCAACAGTTTCCGTTCATTTTCTTTGTAGATGTTGCACATACTGAAATGAAATTTGGTATAAAGATTTATCATAAGAATATCTAAGTCAATTCAGTTTTGGGTACAATTGAGCAATTTCTGACAGAGTTATGCCCCTTGGACTTAGGAAAATTCCAATTATTGGGGGGGGGGGGGGGGCATCAGTGTTTCACATACATCTCTTGCTAGAAAATCTTCTCTGCTCTTGGGTATTAAGCTGATGAATTAAGTGTATGGTTATGATGAACAAGGGTGCCTCTTCCAAAATTGTGATGTGGCCCATGGGTCAGGGGTTCAGTGGAAGGGGCTCTTTTGATAAATAGCAAAAATGCATTAATGCTTTTGAAATCTTCTCCTCTGCTCTTAGGTATTAAAGAAACAAACTAACTGCATAGTTATGATGAGCAAGGGTGCCTCTTCCAAAATTTTGAAATATTCGCCCCAGGGTCAGGGCTTCATGTTCGGTGGGGGCTCTACTGATTATATAGTGAAAATGCATTATTTCTTGATAATCCTCTGCTCTGCTCCTGGGTATTAAGTAAACAAACTAAGTGTATAGATTTAATGAGCAACGGTGCCTTTTTTAAAATTATGAATTTCATGGCCTCTGGTTTAAAATTTGAACCAACTAAATTGTGGGAAAGTTGTTACGTGATACTCAGGTGACCTTTAAGGCCCGTGGGCCTCTGCTAATTTTAAAAGATGGAAATATTATTGAAAAAGTACACATACTGTAAAAGCCATTGACTAACCGCTTATTAAATTTGAAACCAGTTTCGATCTTTCTGACTGATTAGGCTGTTAACTGGTGAATTTTTGTCATCCCTAAAACATATAGTTGCCATCTTTTTTCTACCTTTATGGTACCAAGTTAATAATTGTTAAATATATAAAGCTAGCCAATGTTCTGGGAATAACTTCTTTGAAACCAAACTTGTAAAAATGTGCAGTACAATGTATTTTTATAGGCTATTTTATATAGGCTAACTGTTTATATAGGCTAACTGTAGTGTTTTAGAAAAAAGGGTTATAGCAAAATGTCTAATTTGAAAATGATTTTTTTTTATCTCTCTTTCACTGTATCATAAGAGCATAAAATCTCTACAGTTTAAAATTATTTCTTCAGCACCTGGACGAAAGGATTCCAAGGAATCTGGAGGGAAACCTCAGCCAAATGGAGTGGGACAAGAACATATAGTGGAGAAAGATGCAGTCTATCGTCCGGTTGGAAGGGGAAGGGGAAGAGGCAGAGCTCACAACAGGGGGAGTGGCTCTGGGAATGATCCAGGGCGGGTGATGACATATTCAGGAGAGGATGGACATGTTGACTGTAAGAAAGACTTGCTGGTCATTAAGGTGGATAACACACCAGGGACAAAGTCAGATCAGGTGGAAGTGGAGTATTCTGATGGAGAAAATGAAGCACATAGTGGAGATCACACAGCAGCCCACCATAAGAAGGCAGGGCCACATGCTGAAGAACTGTGGTGGGATGAAGAGGGGGATGATATAGGGCTGGAGTTGCAGGGAATCCCAGCTGAAGATGATATTTTTGAACAGAAAGACTTGTTTAATGATTATCATGGGGAAGGATATGATAAAAATGGCCATTTTGAGGATGCTCGAGGACAAACAAGTCAAGGAGATGCTGATGAATGGGAGGACTGTACTACAAGTGAAGATTTTTCTACTGACAGAAGTCAGAGCCAGACATCAGTATCAGATGATCTGACCTCTCCCCTCAAGGTTAATCTTAATCCTGATGCACCTGTCTTTACTCCAGCTTCACAAACATCACCCAGCCCACTGGCAGCAAAGGTCAGTAAAGAACAAAAGATTGAAAAGGCATCACTTAAAGAAAAAAAGACCAAAGAGTTGAAAGTTGGAGACAGAAATATCTCCAAAAATAAAGAGGAAAAAGCCCCACTGGACAGCAAAAAGGAGAAAACTGAACATTCCAAAAGTGACACAGATCACTCTGACTCTGGAAAGGCAGTCACAAAGCCTGAAGAGTCTTCATTAGCTCCCTCTGAGGAGGAGCTCAAAGGTGAGGTATTTGAGAAACCAACAATGGCCGACTCTCATACCACACAAGAAGAACCTCCTGTAAAGGCAGACACTAACCCTGATGATAAGGGTCAGTCTGATGAAAATCAGAATTTGATTGATCCTCCCACAGATATGCTGCCTAAAGAAGAAGCAGATCAAGATGACACCAAGAAGAATTCTCAAAGTGAGACTGTAGATGCTGAGAAACAAAAACCTGAGGTTGAGGATGAAACAGATTCTCATGATGATATAGCACAAGAAGCCATTGAAGGTAATATTTTGGATAAATTTAGAATGTTTTTTTATGCCCAGCCATGGATATGGCCAGAGCATAAAGTGTTTGTGATGTTCATTTTCTGTCCCTGTGTCCTTCCATCTGTCTATCCATCACACTTCACAGTTATTCCAGTTTCAAAAAACAATATAAGATATTTTTATTTAACTTCACTCAAGATATTTTTATTTAACTTAACTTATGGTGATACATATTGATGGGAGCTACTCAACTGCATCAAAATTGTTTGACCTTGACCATCCCTTCGACCTTTACCTCAGTTTTAGGTCACCTGAGTCACACAGGTGACCTATTTCTATCTGCTTTTGTCCATCATCGTGCGCTGTCCGCCGTTCATTGGTCATAAGCTTTTGAACATTTTCAACTCCTTCTCTTGAACCACGGAACCAATTTCAACCAAATTTGGCATATACATGTCAGTGATTTTTCTACACTCAATTTAGGTCCGAATATCGGCCCTTTCCCCTCTTAAAAATTACCGATTTTTTCCCAATTTTCAACTGCTTTTTTCCCAAAATCAAAACGTATTGTTTTGGTTTGATTGAATTTTTTATGTACGACTTATCTATAATGGAACGCTATTGTTTTTGGTCATTCGGACGCTTAAAATAACGGCAAAAAACAACAGTTTAATTGTGTGTTTGCAAGCCTTGGAAAATCGATCATGTGGAAGTCAAACTTTTGTGTCAATACATCGTAAGAAATTTAAATATGCATGTGAATCTGTTAAGCATAGCTTTATTTGTAATTTGCAAGTACTAGTAGTTCTACAACAAGTGTCCTTGATTTCACGAAAATTAAACTGTTTCTTCATCCTGCAGAGACTGGCATTGCAGAGAAATATGCGATACAGCAATACATGCTTGTAAATAGTGTCAAGATTATTCCATCTCCAATGCGAGCAATAACGAGAAATCGGGAATGATTTTTTTTTCTCAATTTATAATTCTACCATAATGGTAAAAAAAAAAAAGAATATCTATAGGACAATCAAAATACAAAAATGAAAGAAAATTAAAATGTAGAACTGTCCATTTTGTTGAAAATGAAAAATTTTGTAGCAAATAAATTCAATAAATGATATTACATTTACTTATTATTTTATTTTACTTGTCAATATGAAGGTTAAATACAATCTTATTGTTTTTTCCCAATTTGACACAAATGTCGACAATTTTTCCCAATTGAAAAGGCACAGGCCCCTTTTAAAAATTGTAGAAAAATCACTGCATGTATCATCAATAGGTGAAGAGGTTCAAAATTTGTGAATTGATGGTTCCTGCCCCCAGGGAAAAAACCATAAAAATTAGTGCTATCTTGAAAAATCTTCTTTAATCCTGGACATCAAACATTCAAAAACTGTCGGAATGATTGTAATAAGCATTGAGCCATCTACCAAAACTATGAAATTCATGAACCCTGGGTCAGAGTATTGGAGTTAAGACTGGACTCTAATTATTATACTGAGAAAATGCAAAAATTCTTTAAAAACCTTCTTGTAGATTTAGCAGAAAAACTACGTACATGTTTATTATGTGCAAGGCTGCTTCTTCCAAAATCATGAAATGTATGGCAGCCCATGGTCAGGGGTTTTGGTGTTGGTGGTTAGGGGAGGCTCTATTGATTCTATAGTGAAAATGCATTCTTCTCTGCTGGGTATTTAGCAAACAAACCAAGTGCATAGTTATGATGAGCAAGTATACCTTTTCCAAAATTGTGAACTTCATGGCCCCTGGGTCAGAGGTTCTGGTATTAGATGGGGCTCTATTGATTTTATATTGAAAGTGCTTTCATTCTTTGAAAATCTTCTCTGCTACTGTGTATTTATAAGACTAACAAATTGCATAGTTATGATAAGCAAGGGTGCTTCTTCAAAAATTGTGAATTTCATGACCCCTTGGTTAGGGTTCTGGTGTTAGGGCAGGGCTCTATAGATCAGAAAATGCATAATTATACCCCACGCAACAAGAGGTATAATGTTTTTGACCCGTCCGTCAGTCAGTGTGTCAGTCAGTCAGTCCGTCAGTCCTGTTTTTTTGTCAGCTCAACTCCTCATAAACCGCTGCACAGAATTTCGTCAAACTTTGCTGATATTTAGCACACAATGTGTAGATGTGCATATTACCAGGAAATTCTGATTCCTTTATTTTTTCTGGGAATTTCAGCACTTTTCAACTTAGATTTTTGGCCATATCTTGAATATAGAGATTAACAGTTTGTCAGCACAACTCCTCTTAAACCGTTGCACAGAATTTGGTCAAACTTTGCAGATATTTAGCACACAATGTGTAGATGTGCAGATTACCAGGATATTCCAATTCCATTATTTTTCTGGGAATTTTGGCACTTTTCAAATTAGATTTTTGGCCATATCTTGAATATAGAGATGAACAGTTTGTTAGTGCAACTCCTCTTAAACCACTGCACAGAATTTGGTTAGACTTTGCAGATATTTAGTACACAGTGTGTAGATTTGCATATTACCAGGAAATTCCGATTCCATTATTTTTGCCCTAAGAGTTTTGCCTATTATTGAAGAAACTTTCAAGCTAGGTAATAAGGAAATCCACTGGAATCATCTTTTATAATGAAATTTTATGTGAAATATTTTATGACCTTAAAAGACCCCTATTGATTTTGAGATCAAAATATTAATGATTTAACACACACACACACGCACAAAATCAAAATCCCCCCCCCCCCCCCCTCAAATTGGTGCTTTGCCTTAAATAATTTCGTAAGTACAGTTTATAAACAAATTCATATGACTACATCATAATTTTGTTTCCATCAATTATTTAAATGTGTAAATTGTCATGTGTTGGACATGGACTTACACTCATTAACAAATCGAAATCACTGAGGAATTTAAATAACAGTTTGTCAGCATAACTCCTGCACTGAATTTCCTGAAACTTAGTAGGTATTTCAGACATAATGTATAGATTTGTATATTACCAAGAAATTTTGATTCCATTATTTATCTAAAAACTTAATTAAAGGATCAGTGCACTTAAGCTATGAGAGTTGGATCCCGGTGCTTTGCCAATAATAAATTTCTGAAATTTATAAATTTTTTGAATCAGAATTATTAAACAATATCTTAAGAGCAGAGTTTGATATATTATATCACATAAGAATATTAAATAATGCCAAGCGACAGTGGTTTTTGCAACAGGGGTCTAGCAGTTTTGTCACATTTCTATTGTTATTCATATGCATACCAGTTTTCAACGACATTGTTTACATCGAGCCGCAACTTGTCCATTCTTCTCATTTGCACAGAATGTGTATTTTGATTTAAACTTATACATATCCAAAGGGCAGTGTTGGACAATTTGCGGCTCATATGTAATTTTCAAAAAAAATCTCCAAACTACGCTCGGGTTAGCTACTAAATTAACAGGTCACCAAGTGTCAACCTATTTTGACCTGTTTGATATTATAATCACTTTACTCACATGACGTTCCACTGTTCGATTTGCTCTCATTGTGTCTATCAATAGACTTCAGGGCTGTACACACGGATGTATATTTAAGTACAAAATCTGACTATGTATAGACTTTTAATACGGTGAATCCTAAGATTTTTCGAATCTTATAAAACTGTATTAAGAATAGGGCAATGCTCTATTTCTTAATACTAGTCTTAACTTACCTTTCATTTTCAAACCAATCGAAAGTACTCACATTGTGGTCATCCTATTTTTATCATAACAAAAAAAAGCACGTGGTAAATAATGGTCGACTTTCGCAGTAAAAATATCGAAAAACTCGTTGTTTTATGGGAAGAAGATCAAAAGGGGTAACTACATGTAATTGTAAAAGTTGCTCAAATGCAGCGTTATCTATTCTACAGAAGTTTTTAAACTACTGGGGTCTTCTCTTTGCACCTCATCTAGCGATGCATTGTGTGCACCAAGTACATATACATTTTCGTTGACTATGTTTTTTAATCTGAAATATACTTGTTCCATCAATAAAATGTTAATTTAAATTACAGATAGTTTGTATTTCTTGGAGTTTTCATGTTAACCTACCGACTCAAATTTTAAGTTAAAATTTTATATTTCATTTCCGAATGTTATTTATCTATACAATCATGCATATAATAAAATATGTATCACCGTGAGTACTACATACATGTATAATTTGTTTCACTACACGTTTGTATTACTCTACGTACTACATGTACAGTGAATTACGATTAAATGTAGTGTGACATCGAAGTCATGTACATGTGAATCTTTCTTAAAACATACATTCATTCTTTGAATTGAAAAGCATTCAGCATATAAAATGAAAAATGATAAAGCTAAAGAAAAAAAGAGGGGGCACTTTTTATCATATACGAAAACTTAAGATTGATCTAATTCGGTGCTAGGCATCAAACATATGGTTACGAATCATGAAAATGATCAATATGTATGGCCATGAATCATTTATTATTTGTGTGAATCATGAAGCTACACAATCTTTCTCTCCCCCATTTAAATTCATACTGTAGAATCAATCTGGAAATAATGTGCAAATGTTTACATTCCACTTCCATGCGATTTAAATATCTCCGCCCATTTGTGGGTACCTTAAATTCGAAAGTGGTCCAGTTCAAATTTCCGGAATTTAAGGCTTATACATGTTCTTTTCAATGACGTTGTGTGGAATTATAGCAATATGTTTAATAAAAAATTCGAAGTATAAATATCAAAAGCATATGTATGCACAATAATCATAGATTAATTTAGCAATATAGTCTAATTTAAGGGTTAAAATGGGTGACCGAAAAGGCTCCAAATGACACTCTAAAGTGCACTCATTCTTTGTAACATACAAAGATCTGAATGTCCTTATATGCAAGAAGTTTTGATGTGGTGATTTTTTGCAAGTAATGCCCCTTTCTGAATTATACCGTGTTTTTAAACTGCACTGTGCCATTCATTACGTGTTGTATTGTCGAATTTTGGGGGAGCGTGGGGTATGTGAGCTTGCTCACTTTTTCTTTCATTTTTTAAAAAAAAATATTTCTTCCTCTCTTCCCCTAGGTAATTAGCAGACTAACAAATTGCATGGTTATGATGAGCAAGAATCACTCTTCTAGAATTGTGAAGTTCATGACCCTTGGGTCGAGGGTTTTGATGTCATGGCAGGGCTCTTTTGAATATGTAGTGAAAATGCATTTTTTCTTTGAAAATCTGCTGCTCTGGGCCTTGGTTTTTAGCTCACCTGAGCTAAAAGCTCAAGTGAGCTTTTTTGATCACCTGTTGTCCGTCGTCTGTCTGTCCGTCCGTCTGTCTGTAAACTTTTCACATTTTCAACTTCCTCTCAAGAACCACTGAGCCAATTTTAACCAAACTTGGTACAAAGTATCCTTGGGTGAAGGGGAGTTTGAATTGTTAAAATGAAGGGCCAAGTCCCCTTATAAGGGGAGATATTCAAGAAAAGACAAAATAGGGTGGGGTCATTAAAAATTCTTCTTCTCAAGAATCACTGGGCCAAAAATGCTGAAACTTATGTGGAAGCATTATGGGATAGTGTAGATTCTAAATTGTTCAAATCATGACCCCCGGGAGTAGGGCAGGGCCACAATAGGGAATCCCAAGTTTTACATTGAAATATATTGGAGAAATCTTTAAAAATCTCCTTCTCAAGAACCACAGGACCAGAAAAGCTGAAACTAACGTGGAAGCATTCTCTGGTAGTGTAGATTCTAAATTGTTCAAATCATGACCCCCGGGGGTAGGGCGGGGCCACAATAGGTATTAGGAGGGGAAAATCTGGTAAAGAACAGCATGGCCAAAGTTACTCAGGTGAGCGATGTGGCCCATGGGCCTCTTGTTTGAAGTATCAGATTTTTAGGTCACCTGAGTCACTCAGGTGACCTATTGCTATCCGTTCTCGTCCGTCGGCGTGCGTCATGTGTTAACATTTGAACATTTTTAGCTTCTTCTCTGTAACCGCTTAACCAATTTCAACCAAATTTGGCATATAGCATCTATGGGTAAAGGGGAACAAAAATTGTGAATTTCATGGTCCCTGTCCCCCTGGGGCCTGAGGGGTGGGGCTAAAACCACCAAAAATAATGCAATCTTTAAAAATATTCTTTACTCCTGGACATCAAGCAATCTAACTGTTGGCATGATTGTAATAAGCATTGAGCCCTCTACCAAAATTGTGAAATTCATGGCCCCAGGGTCAGGGGTTCTGGTGCTAAGGTGGGGCTATATAGATCATATAGTGAAAGTGCATTATTTCTTTGAAAATCTTCTTCTCTGCTCCTGGGTATTAAATAAAGTAACTAAGTACATAGTTATGATGAGCAAGAGTGCATCTTCCAAAATTTTGAATTTCATGGCCCCAAGGTCAGGGGTTCTGGTGTTAGGGCAGGGCTCTATTGATTATATAGTGAAAATGCATTAATTCTTTGAAAATCTTCTTCTCTGCTCTTGGTTATTAAATAGAGTAACTAAGTACATAGTTATGATAAGCAAGAGTGCCTCTTCCAAAATTGTGAATTTCATGGCCCCTGGGTCAGGGTTCTGGTGTTAGGGCAAGGCTCTGTTGATTATATAGTAGAATTGCATAAATTCTTTGAAAATCTCTCTCTCTGCTCTTGGCTATTAAATTAACTAAGAACATAGTTATGGTGAGCATGGCTGCCTTTTCAGAAATTGTGAATTTCATGGCCCTTGGGTCAGGGGTTCTGGTGTTAGGGCTGGGCTCTATTGATTATATAGTAAAATTGCATTAATTCTTTGAAAATCTTCTTCTCTGCTCCTGGATATTAAATAAACTAAGTACATACTTATAATGAGCATGGCTGCCTCCTCAGAAGTTAAGAATTTCATGGCCCCAGGGTCAGGGGTTCTGGTGTTAGGGCGGGGTTCTATTGATTATATAGGGAAAAGGCATGAATTTTTCAAAGTCATCTTCTCTGCTCCTGGGTATTTTTCAAACAAAGGAAGTGCATGGTTATGATAAGGAAGAATGCCTCTTCCAAAATTGTGAAATTCATGGCCCCTGGGTCAGGGGTTCTGGTAAGGGGGGGCTCTATAATTGATTATATAGTGAAAATGCATAATTTCTTTCAAAATATTTTTTCTACTACTAGTTATAAAGTAAAGAAACAAATGTATAGTTATGATGAGAAAGGGTGCTTCTTCCAGAATTGTGAATTCGTGGCCAATGGGTCAGATGTTCTGGTGTAAGGATGGGGCTTTATTTATTTAATAATATGGTGAAAATGCATTTCTTTGAAAATATTCTATGCTTCTGGGGATGTTCAAGGCAAACAGAGTAAAAGTTTTAATATGCAAGGGTATTTTTACCAGAATTTTGAACACCTGGACCATTTAGTCAAGTGTTCTGGTCCTGGCCAGGGCTCTATTAACTTGTATTCTGCTGAGCAAAGTTATTCCCCTTTGCCATTCACCTTTGATAATTAATCAATGTAAATAATGTATTTGAAAGCTTAATAGAATAAGAGAATTATGCAAGAAAATTTATTGTATAATAAAAAAAAGTACTTTCATAGTTTTAATGACTTGGAAATAATAGATGAATAAAAATGAGACAAAAATTACTTCTCCTCTTTTAAAATGTTCTTCAAAGGCCAAGAGAGGCCATTGTGAGATGTAATAATATGGGGTTAAATAATGGACAATTTGTTAATAGTCTGCATGGGAATAGTGATGAATGGGGGGGGGGGGGGGGCAGATAGATACTAGACCAATTATTTTGTTGATGCTAATCATACTATTTTTCTTGCTTTTGGGCAACAAAGCTTCATTTATCAGTTTATGGATCCTCTAAATTGTTGTATTGTACTCAGGTGACTGTTAAGGCCCTTGGGCCTCTTGTATCAAAACCTAATTTACATCATTAATTAAATAATGTTATTTCGGACTGGTAATGAATTTAGTAAAGGAAATACCTATAAGAGGCTCATAGGTCGCATGGTCACCTGAGCATTTTATGCTCGAATTGACAAATACATGCTGTGTAAATTATTGAATTATTTTGACTTTTTCCTTGGTAAGCCCAAAATGAAGGAGTGTGTATTTAGAGGCAAACACCTTAATGCGGGTATTACTGTCTCATGACAGCATCTAGTTATTATATTACAATATGTATACTCGTATGTACCTCTTGTAGATGCATTTATCAATGATTATACCATTAAGCACTGCTCATTATATTTAAGATCATGTTTGTTCTATCATTTGGATCTTCCTCCTTCTTTGTTTCATGTTTGTAAATCTTTTTTGCTCCTCCGGGGGCCCAAATTGGACTAATAAATCTTGTATCTTGTATAGAGAAAGATCTTTAAAATCTTCTTCTCAAAAACCAATTGGCCAGAAAAGCTGAAACTTGTGTAGAAGCATCCTGAGGTAGTGTAGATTCAAGTTTGTTCAAATTGTGATCCCTGGGGGTAGGGTGTGGCCAAATGGGGGGGGGGTCAAATTTTTATAAAGGAATATATAGATGAAATCTTTAAAAAAATTCTTCTCAAAAACCATTTTGCCAGAAAAGCTAAAACCTGTGCTGAATTATCCTCAGGTTGTGAAGATTGTTTAAATGGGACCACAAAAGGAGATCCAGTTTTTACATAGATTCAAGTTTGTTTCAATCATGATTCTCAGGGATAAGGATGGGCCACAATGGGGATCAAATTTTTGCATAGAGATGTATAGAGAAAAAACTTTAAAATCTCTTTCTCAAAAACCACTTGCTTAGAAAATCAGTAACTTTTGTGAAAGTATTATCAGATATTGTAGATTCAAGTTTGTTTTTGGGGATAGAGTAGGTCCACATACATTTGGGATCCAATTTTACATAGGGAAAAAAATTTAATCATTCTCAAAGAAGTCAAATGTTATATGATTTTACTTTTATGCAAGCATCTTAATATATTGTTAATTCTCAATCATTTAGATATGACTATAAAGTCATCTTGTTACAATGTTTAACATAAATATATCTGGAAAAAAAAAAAAAACCGAAAATCTCTTTACACAGGATCTTTTCTACTACATTGTCCAGATATTTAGTATATGACTCCATAAAGCTGATTCTATTATGGCTAGTGTTGCTCAGGTGAGCGATGTGGCCCATGGGTCTGTTGTTTATATAATGCCCTTTTGCATTCATCATTTAATTAGACCCCGCTCAATGGGCACCCTTTAGTGATCAGTCTGTCCATACGTCAGACTGTCTGTCTGTCTGAGATCACTTGTCCGGAGCATATTTTCTCTTTCCTTGACCCAATCTGGTTCATCCACATCCACAGAGTGCCTTTCGGTAAAGGGTGTGCAGTAACCTTCAACCAAGTTTCTAAGTCTAAGGTTAAGGTCATAGGCAGAATTATATGTAAAAATCCTTATCCAGAACTTATATTCTCTCCTCTTGGTCCAGTCTGGCTCATACTTCACCAACAGAGTGCCTTTACTCAAAGGGTGTGCAGTGACATTGAACAAAGTTTCTAGGTCAAGGTCATTTCCTTTCCAAACAAATTCCAGATCATATATTCTCTCCTCTTAGTGCTATCTGGCACACACTTCACATAAACAGAGCTTTTAGGTAAAGGGTTTGCAGTGACCTTGAACCATATTTTTAGGTCAGATGTGAAGGTCATAGCTGATAACTTTAATATCCAGTTTTGGACCTTAAATTCTTTCCCATTGGCTTAATCTTGCTCAGAGGTTAGCAGTGAGTTTGAATTTAAGTTTTATGCCAACTGGAAAACTTCGAAGTTATAGGTTAAATCTCTGAAATGCTTTAAATCCTAATGTATATTATTTTAAGCGAGGCCCTTTGAGATGGTCACAATGTCAATGATGTCTAGTTATTCCCTACATTTTCCTATTTCTTTTTTTTTTCAGAGAGAATGGTTGCCACACCAGTGTACCAATACTTTTCAGATGAATGTTGCTTTTCTTCTGATGATAGCTTCAGGGATCCAGATTTTTTGTGTTCTAAAAGTGAGGTGGAAAGGAGTTTTAGTAGTGATTCTGACGATGAAAGTGACACTTTATTCAGGCACAAAAAAAGAAAACTTGAACACAATGTCAATAAGGCTAAAAAAAGGAATCTCAATAAAAACTTGGAAGAAAAGGATAATGTTTCCGACATTGAAGACGATTCCTCTATGTCTGATATTATCAGCTTACCCTGCACTTCCCAATTCAACACAAGAGTTGTTTCGAAGGAAGAATTTGGATTGCTTCCAAAAGGAAAAATAAAAGAGGGATGCAAACAAACATATGATAAACAAAATTATTGTACCTTCTGTTCCAAAAATATCAAAAGTAAAATATCAAGACATATCCTTACCCACAAACTTGAACCCAAAGTGATGAAAATTCTTTCTTTACCAAAAAGATCCGAGGAGAGAAAGGTTGAATTAGAACTTTTAGCAAATGAGGGAAACTTTAAGCATAATTTAGAAGTTTTGAAAAAGAAGGAAGGACTGCTTGTTGTAGCAAGAAGAGAATCCCAATTACAGCATAATCCTATGGACTTCTTGCCTTGCGAGTATTGCAAAAAGTTCATTTTGAAAAAAAATCTGTGGTTGCACCACAGAACTTGTCCAATTCATGTATTTTATGAAAAAAACAGAAATGTAGAAACAAGAGGTACTGAGAATGAAAAATCCAATAATGCTGTGAGAAGGGGATACAGTTTGTTGTACAGTGGATTGATTGATGAAGATACTTCAGTTGTGAAAATGTTGGACAGGATGCGAAATGATGAAGTAAAAGATGTGGTTATGAACGATTCCATAATAAAGAAGTATGCTTCATTACGAGTAGAGTCTCTAGGAAGCAAAGAAGATCAGAAAATTGGTGACATGCACCGGATCTCACAATGTTGTCGAACACTGGGACGCTTGATTATTGAATGCAAAAAATTGAATTCTACTGCAATGATTACTTTGGATACACTTGTGTCCCCACATCATTTTGATTTAGTTGTTTCTGCAACTCAATCAATGTCTGTGTCTGGAGAAAATCCTGCAATTTCACTTGGAAGTTTTATTGGGAACATTTTCGGACACATAATACAAATAAAGACTGGAGAAGCACTTAGATCCAATGATGAAAAGAGAAGCCAGGAGGCCAGTGATTTTCAGAAACTATTCGAATCTGAATGGAATTACAGAGTGAATGCAGTTTGCACAAGAAGAAAAAACACACTGAATAGGAAGAGAATCCAAGTGCTTCCACTTACAGAGGATTTACAAACTCTGCGTGACCACATAATGTTGAAGATGAAGGAAACATCATCGAAGTTAAAGACAACAAAGATGGCATGTGATTGGGTTGAATTAGCCAAACTAACCTTATCTAGACTTATCCTCTTCAACAAAAGAAGAAGAGCTGAAGTAAAAGACTTAAAAGTACAGGATTACCAATGCCGTCCTGACTGGAAGACAGAACAAAGAGGGGAATTTGAAATGGCCTTAACATCAGCAGATAAAATTTTGGCTAACAGGTAAAATTCTTTAGCACCATATCAGGTTACCTTAAGCAAGTAGAGGAAATTTACATGTAAATATTAGTGAAAGAATGCAATTGGATGTAAAACAAGGTAAAGATTAGGGCTGTGCAATAATATCGATATTCCGGTATATTGTGATTCATTTACAAAAAATATCGTATTGCGATACGTTTTTCCAATACCGGTATATCGGTAAAATGCTTGGGCTTGTGATTTCTAAAGTAAAATTTAAAATGCCAGAAACGCTTTCAATCATGCCTAATACTAAGGTTCCTGTTGTATGGTTATATTTTGTTGCAGAACTAAGGTGAAATTGGCAAAAACTTTTTTTTTTTTGCGTATTTATAAAACAGATGTAGTTTTATTCACTCCTATTATAAATGGAGGTTAATAAACTAAGAAAAGAGCATTTTAACTGTTATTAAAAATATTGCAATACATATTGCAATACAGTTTAAAATATCGCAATACGAAATTCCCAGCCGATACCCAGCCCTAGTAAAGATGCTACCCTGGTCTAGGATTGGGCTAGGTCTGGTGTTACTAGATTTACAGGAAAATATACATGAAAAGAACTACAGGCCTATTTAGGTTCTTTCAGACTATAATTCCAGGGGTATGCCATGGTAGTTATTTTTCTACAGTTATTGCCAAAATCAAAGAAATGTTGCTGTTATCTATTCTCCAATATACCTTAAATGCCATAAATATATAATTATCAGATCCGAGACACATACATGTAAGAAACACGTGATATATTAACCTCATACTTATAATGAGTTTATTACTTTAAAGAATATCAAATTCACATCTTGCTTTTAGACACAGCATTGCATATTGCTTATGATGTTTATTTCAAAGAACATGGCTGTTCTGAGGATTGGTACTGCTTGATCTTTACAAAAATGAGTAATTCTGATAATTGTATTAACCCTTTGTGTGCTGACTTGTTTTAAGTGAGTGGTAACCTCAGTTCTGAGTTGTTTTGGAAAATTGACAAAATTGTCACATTGGCTTACTCAAATGCAGATATCTTAAAATTTTGACAACCAATTTGCATGAAATTTGGCAAATATGAAGCAAATATTGTGTTTTTAGCTCACCTGAGCCGAAGGCTCAAGTGAGCTTTTCTGATCACATTTTGTCCGTTGTCCGTCCGTCCGTCTGTCTGTCTGTCTGTCCGTCCATCTGTAAACTTTTCACATTTTTGACTTCTTCTCAAGAACCACTGGGCCAATTTTGACCAAACTTGGTACAAAGCATCCTTGGGTAAAGGGGAATTTAAATTGTTAAAATGAAGGGCCAAGTCCCCTCACAAGGGGAGATAATCAAGAGAAGACAAAAATAGGGTGGGGTCATTAAAAAATCTTCTTCTCAAGAACCACAGGGCCAGTAAAGCTGAAACTTATATGGAAGCATCCTGGGGTAGTGTAGATTCTAAATTGTTCAAATCATGACCCCCGGGGGTAGGGCGGGGCCACAATGTGGAATCAATGTTTTACATAGAAATATATAGGAAAAATCTTTAAAAATCTTCTTCTCAAGAACCACTAGGCCAGAAAAGCTGAAACTTATGTGGAAGCATCCTGGGATAGTGTAGATTTTAAATTGTAAAAATCATGACCCCCGGGGGTAGGGCGGGGCCACAATAGGGAATCCAAGTTTTACATTGAAATATATAGGAAAAATCTTGAAAAATCTTCTTCTCAAGCACAACTGGGCCAGAAAAACTGAAACTTATGTGGAAGCATCCTGGGGTAGTGTAGATACTAAATTGTAAAAATCATGACCCCCAGGGGTAGGGCGGGGCCACAATAGGGAATCCAATTTTACATTGAAATATGTAAGAAAAATCTTCTTCTCAAGAACAACTGGGCCAGAAAAACTGAAACTTATGTGGAAGCATCCTGGGATAGTGTAGATTTTTAATTGTTAAAATCATGACCCCCGGGGGTAGGGCAGGGCCACAATAAGTATTAGAAGGGGGTAAATCTGGTAAAGAACAGCATGGCCAAAGTTACTCAGGTGAGCGATGTGGCCCATGGGCCTCTTGTTTGAATTGATAAAGTTTTTTCTAAAAATTCTTATATCTGACATTGCCATGGTAACAAAATTTTCAAAAATATACAAAAACGATGATTCTTGAGTTTTTAGGTCACCTGAGTTACTCAGGTGACCTATTGCTATCCGTTTTCGTCCTGCATTGTCTGTCATGCGTTAACTTTTGAACATTTTTAACTTCTTCTCCAGAACGCCCAACCAATTTCAACCAAATTTTGATATATAGCTTCTATGGGTAAAGGGGAACAAAAAATGTGAATTCCATTGTCCCTGCCCCCCTGGGGCCTGAGGGGTGGGGCTAGAACCACCAAAATTAATGCAATCTTTAAAAATCTTATTCTTTACTCCTGGACATCAAGCAGTCAAACCGTTGGCATGAATGTAATAAGCATTGAGCCCTCTACCAAAATTATGAAATTCATGGCCCCAGGGTCAGGGGTTCTGGTGCTAGGATGGGGCTATATGATCATATAGTGAAAGTGCATTATTTCTTTGAAAATCTTCTTCTCTGCTCCTGGGTATTAAATAAAGTAACTAAGTACATAGTTATGAAGAGCAAGAGTGCCTCTTCCAAAATTGTGAAATTCATGGCCCCAGGGTCAGGGGTTCTGGTGTAAGGGTGGGGCTCTATTGATTATATAGTGAAAATGCATTAATTCTTTGAAAATCTTCTTCTCTGCTCCTGGGCATGAAGGTGATTAAGTACATAGTTATGAAGAGGAGGTGGGCCTGCGGGCTTCCAAAATTGTGAAAGCCATGGCCCCAGGGTCAGGGGTTCTGGTTTTAGGGCGGGCTCTATTGATTATATAGTGAAAATGCATTAATTCTTTGAAAATCTTCTTCTCTGCTCCTGGGTATTATTTAAACAAACTAAGTGCATGGTTATGTAAATCCAAGTCCATTGATCTTTTTAGCTGTATTAGCAACCATATAAGAAAATTTGATCCCCAGTTAAGGAATATGCAGTCTTCGGGTCAGGAAATCTTGGTTCAAATTTGGTACACCGATAACGAAATTGTATCTTATAGCCCCAATTATACTCTATTATTCTTATACCTGTAAAAATCTTTCTTACTGTGCTTTTATAGAGAAGGATGCATTTCTCCAATATTGCTTGTATAGTATTAGTTAACATTCATCACCTCCCCCCCCCCCCCCCCACCCACTTAATACTCCCTACTCTTTAAAAAATGGGCATTTATTTTGGAAGTTTTATTCCTAGCTGGCAACAATGATTGCTAACATAAATTGCTAACACGTCAACTAGAATTTATGTTGAAGATATTTAAGCACCTTTAACAGTCATTTACAATATCTTCAACTTTATAAATATGCCGAAATTACTTTGTTGTGGTCACTGATGAATATCAGTTTTGATACATTTCAATGTTTTCAGTGCATTAATGCATAATTGATAAGTAATGTTTTATCACAATTATAAGCAAGAATTCAATGTGCTCCTATTTTTTATTTTGACCTGTCCTTGAAGAACTGTCTCCTTTTGTCTTGATTCAATAAAAAATAAATTTTAAAATATATATCTATTTGTTTAAACAAAATTCTATTTAAATATTATTCCTAATGATGAAACACATTTTTTTACCAGGGCATTTGTAATCTTATTAACTATTTAAATTTTTATATTTAAAAATTAGCTTATCTTTGGAGACCTCATTGCAATCTTTGTTGATCAATAACTGCTCAGGTATTTGTATTTTTTGAACATTTCTCTTGGAATTAAAAAATATTCTCTTGGTAAAAGCTAGTTTTTCTACTCTAAAATGCTTTCTAAAGACAAATGCATGGCAGAGTATTCTTTAGGAGACTGATATTTAGTGAAAGAGAATCATGGATGGAATATCTTAAAACAGGGATGTTGTAGAGATGATTGATACATGCATGAATGAATGACAAGGGAGTCAGATCCTTAGAAAATGAAGCACAGTGTCAGTGAGGGATGTAATGTAATTCTTGAGGGTTCTTGGGCCCTATACACTTGTAAACTACAGGTCATATGATGTATTGATAGGTGAAAATAAACATTGAGTTTGAGAAATACAAATCCACCTATCACCCAAGCTTCATTAGTGTTTTAATGATGTACATGCAACCAAACTATTCACAATCTCCTCATTAAAAGACTTTGACGTACGATCTCCTTCCTATTGGGGGGGGGGGGGGATTAGTTTGTTCTTGTGTGCATAATGGAAGTGTCCTTGTGTGCATAATGGAAGTGTCCTTGTGTGCATAATGGAAGTGATATAATCTGTATTGGGATGGAGTCGAATGCTGTCTTGATTTATAGATATGCTCGTTTGCGAGGGGATGCTCCGCTTTGCAGTGCCCTTTTTGGGATATATGTTCTGCATCCTTTTTGAGGTAAAGGGGTATTTCCATAGACAAAGATGACAACTCATTTCAATTGTAAACTATAGACCTCGATCACATTTATTTATTCTGTTATTCTGAATAGGTTCACTTATTTAATTCATGCTGAGTACAATTTCACAGTTTGGGGGGGAGGGGGGGTCCTCACTGTTTTTGGTTTAAAAAAAAAAATTAAGGCAAACAGTCTTGGAATTAAAAATTCCCGTGCTTTATTTGTGGGAAAAGACTATTTTAAAGAAAAAGGGGATGCCACTTTGGTAATGTGTGGCTTGACATGGAAAGATGCTACATGTATTAAGAATTACTAAGGATACCTTTTTGTTCACTTGGTATTATAAATTAAGGTCCATGCAACTACGATACAAAGTAAATGTTTTGAAGTATTCCAACTCCCAAGACACCAAAGATCCCTTTAACAGTCTTGGGTTTTGAAATATATTTAGAGACTATTCTAAGTTATGATTCTATTTACTGTCAGTCCTCCTTATGTGAAAGAGAAGGAAAGATAATACCATTTCAAGAACATCTAACATATGTTTTGTCAATTGAGTTTGTTTTTTTTTCCAAAGACATATACACATTGAAGTTTACATGAGCATGAGCAAGTTCTTAGTTTCTAAATCCCTGGAATTAGATGTAAACTGTTTCACCTTCAAAATCATAATTGTATACTGGGTATTCAAAATATGAGCAAATTTTACTTAAGTTTTACATGGTTTAAGATTAATTATGGTATTAAATGTTGGCAAAGAAAAGACAGTATTTCTTAAGCCTCATCAGTGAAAACCTATCTTTTGTTTGTTTACTGAAATAAAACAATCAAAGACCACAGTCTGCCCCTATGACAATCACTTCGAGGAAAATAAGCACTTAAAAGTTCAAGACAGTGATATTTGTCCAGCATTCTTTTCATCACAATTTTAATCATTTTTTTGTACATGATCAAAGGTATCACTGCATCATTTCTGATTTATTTATATTTTTTCTCATTACTTGTGATTTTTTTTTATTAGACTTCAGTTCTAGTGTCAAGAACTAGCTTACATGTGAAGACACATACTGGAAAACATCAAGTTTATCTTTAAATTTTGTGCAAGAAATTTGACTTGTTATCAAATACTGTAAAGTCATTTTAATTCGTGGGGGTCAATGTTCATGAGTAAGCAAAATTAAGATGCAATGCCAAGCAGCTTTAAACCAGACATTTTAGGAGGAAAGGGCCACAGATGACTTCATGACTGTTTTACAAAATTCATATTGTCAATGAGTACCTGGTAGTTTATAGTTTCAATATTGCGTGATCACAAAAATATGTTTCTGGAAATACTCTTTTTAGCTCACCTGAGTTAAAAGCTCAAGTGAGCTTTTCTGATCACATTTTGTCCGTCGTCCGTCTGTCTGTCTGTCCGTCCGTCTGTAAACTTTTCACATTTTTGACTTCCTCTCCAGAACCACTGGGCCAATTTCAACCAAACTTGCCATGAAGCATCCTTGGGTAAAGGGGATTCAAGTTTGTTCAAAGGAGGGGCCACACCCTCTTTCAAGGGGAGATAATTAGGAATTAGTGAAAAAATAATGGCATCATTTAAAAATCTTCTTCTCAAGAACCATTGGGCCAGGAAAGATGAAACTTATGTGGAAACATCCTCAGGTAGTGTAGATTCAAGTTTGTTCAAATCATGACCCCCGGGGCTAGGGTGGGGCCACAATGGGGGATCAAAGTTTTACATAGAAATATATAGGAAAATATCTTAAAAAATCTTCTTCTTAAGAACAGCAAAGCCATGATTGGTCATATTTATATGGAAGCATCCTCAAGTAGTGTAGATTCAAGTTTGTTCAAATCATGACCCCCTGGGGTAGGGTGGGGCCACAATGGGGGATCAAAGTTCTACCATTTTCATCATTTTAGGTCACCAATGAGTCGCTTGGTTAACTTATTGCTGCCATATTTTAGGAAATCTACTTTAATTTTCTGTGCATGGTATGCTTGTAGAAATAAACTGTGTGCATATTAAATAAAACTGAATATTATAAAAGATTGACCATTAAAGGCCTACAGGTCTCTTTTTACCAAAAGTTTACAATTTTTGGCACATGGAGCTAGGATATAAATAATCCTTTATGAATAACTATTTTTAGATATTATTGCTAGACTCCAAAATGAAGCTTAAAATGCAAAAATGAGACCCTCTATGGTACTCAGGTGACCATCAAGGCCTATAGGCCTCTTGTTATATTTTGTACACTCGGCACACCTCGGCCGATTCGTACCTCATCTAACTTGGCTGTATCATGTAAACCTCCATTGAACCGGAGCTACTTTATACCCAATATGGCTGCGCCCTATAATTACACGTGCACAGTGTGCTGAATTTGATCCATTGATAAACATGTGTTTTATGTATACTATGTAAATACATTATTATTTTCTTGGGTCTTCTATGTTTTAAAGCATTTATTTTTTTTCCAGAATGGACATGGTCTTGAGTGCAGGCAAATCCAAAAAAAATGTGGATGCATATGTCCTTCTTCCACCGGACACAAGAGAAGCGATTGACCTATTAAACTCACTAAGGAAGGAAGTTGGGGTACCAGTAAATAATGAATACATATTTGCAAGATTGAATGCAGAAACACCAATGGCTGGACATACAGACTTAAAAGAAATTGTTAATAGCTGCCCAGGTCTAAAAGAACCATCAAAGATCAGCTCAACAAATCTTAGAAAATATATTGCCACAGTGTCGCAGGTTTGTTCTTAACCACAGGACCTTAATTTTATTTATTATACCCCCGCTCCGAAGGAGAGGGGGGTATACTCTTTTACCCTTGTGTTTCTGTGTGTCTGCTTGTCCGTAAGTTTTCTCATCAAATACTCAATGCAGATGTTTGAAATTTTAGCACACTCTTTGTTTAGGCATGCCATATGGTGGGATTCTTTTTTGTACGCATTCGACGTCAACTTCTGTTTAACCATTTTTCGTCTATTCATACCAGACGTATTCACAAGAACGGGGGTATTACTAGTGAGCATTGGCTCACAGATTTCTTGTTTACTTTTTTTTTTTACTTTTGTGTTATTTAAACTAAGACAGCAATAATTTGTATAAAAATTCTGCTTTAATTTTAGATCCTTGACATGACAGATAATGAAGTAGAAATGCTTGCAAGACATCTAGGTCACGATGTGAAGACTCATAAAGAGAACTATCGTTTGTCTCATTCAACAAGAGAACTTACAAAGGTACAGTGCATAATAGATATATGTTTTTCAGAATTGTCTATTTAATTATGCCCCCCCTTCGAAGACGGACGGTTGCTGTCGGTGTCTGTCCTCAACCAACATTTTGCATTCATTACCTCTGCAAAGGCTACACATACTGAAATAAAATTTGGTATGCAGACTTATCAAGAAAATATCTATGTCAAGTTCTATACATTTTGGGTATGATCGAACAATTTTTGACAGAGTTATGAGAATATCTAGGTCAATTTTATTTTGGGTACGATTGCAATAAGGCCTCTTGGACTTAGACAAATTGCAATAATTTGCAGTTTCCGTTCATTATCTCTGCGAAGGCTGCACATATTGAAATGAAATTTTGTACTTAGAGATTTATCATAAGAGTATTAAGGTCAAGTTTGTTTTGGACACCATCGAACTATTTTTGACAGAGTTATGCCCCTTGCACTAGTCATTTCCATACTTCCCACAAAGGCTTGTGCACCCTATAATTTATGCCCAAGGGGGCATATTTATGCCCCCTTGGTCATAAGTGTTTTCAAACATATCTTGTTATATAAAGATCAAGCAGGCTTGTTAATGTATGTATCAATATATTCAAACATAACCTATGAAAGTAAAAAGGATTAAAATTTCTTCAAATAATGGCTCTTGGATGCCAATGTGGATTTAATAGGGTGTATGTATATAATTATATATTTATAATAGTATTGTTGAGTTTTTAAGTATATAGTATAAATATAAACAGTAGTATTATTGAGTCTCATTATATACAAATCAATATTGAAATTTTATGAAGTGTATAAACAGTAGTACTTGAGGAATTGGGTCTTCTTTACAGTAGTACTGTGGGTCTTCAAGTGTATATAAACAGCAGTATCATTGGGTCTGATATAGACCAGTAGGATCTTTAAGTATATATAAACAGTGGTATTATTGGGTCTTTGAGTGTATATTAACAACAGTATTGTTGGATCTGAGTTTTATATAGAACAGTATAATATTGTTGGATCTTTATGTATATATATAAACAGTGGTACTATTGGGTCTTCAAGTATATATAAACAGTGGTACTATTGGGTCTTCAAGTATATATAAACATTGGTACTATTGGGTCTTTATATGTATATAAACAGTGGTACTATTGGGTCCCAGTGGTCTATGGATGTGCAGTGAACCTGAATGAAGCTTTTAGGTCAAGGTCAAAAATAGCCTCTCTGTTTAAAATCTTTGTTCGGTGCATAATTTCTTTCCCTTAAGTCCAGTCAGCCTCAAACTTTACCAATTGACTTAGGGTACGGAACATTTGTGATTTTCCTTCCATATTTTGATAAAGGATATGCAACAATTTTCATAGAGAATATGCAACATTCATGATTTTTGTGCCGTTTTTTGATAAAGGGTATGGAGCACTCATGATGCCCTTTTTAGCTCACCTCGACGAAGTCGAGATGAGCTTATGCTATACCGTCGGCGTTAGCGTCGGCGTCCCAGGTTAAAGTTTTAGGAGTAAGTCCCATTCCCAAGTAACTATAAGCCCTACCTGGACCAAACTTGCATGGATGATGCATCTAGGGATGGACACTACCACACTTGCTTCGGATGCTGGATCTGACCTAGATTTTCCAGATGAGTGACCAGGTTAAAGTTTTAGGAGCAGGTCCATTCCCAAGTAACTATAAGCCCTACCTTGACCAAACTTGCATGGATGATGCATCTAGGGATGGACACTACCACACTTGCTTCGGATGCTGGATCTGACCTAGATTTTCCGGATGAGTGACCAGGTTAAAGTTTTAGGAGCAGATCCATTCCCAAGTAACTATAAGCCCTACCTTGACCAAACTTGCATGGATGATGCATCTAGGGATGGACACTACCACACTTGCTTCAGATGCTGGATCTGACCTAGATTTTCCAGATGAGTGACCAGGTTAAAGTTTTAGGAGCAGGTCCATTCCCAAGTAACTATAAGCCCTACCTGGACCAAACTTGCATGGATGATGCATCTAGGGATGGACACTACCACACTTGCTTCGGATGCTGGATCTGACCTAGATTTTCCGGATGAGTGACCAGGTTAAAGTTTTAGGAGCAGGTCCATTCCCAAGTAACTATAGGCCCTACCTTGACCAAACTTGCATGGATGATGCATCTAGGGATGGACACTACCACACTTGCTTCGGATGCTGGATCTGACCTAGATTTTCCAGATGAGTGACCAGGTTAAAGTTTTAGGAGCAGGTCCATTCCCAAGTAACTATAAGCCCTACCTGGACCAAACTTGCATGGATGATGCATCTAGGGATGGACACTACCACACTTGCTTCGGATGCTGGATCTGACCTAGATTTTCCGGATGAGTGACCAGGTTAAAGTTTTAGGAGCAGGTCCATTCCCAAGTATCTATAAGCCCTACCTGGACCAAACTTGCATGAATGATGCATCTAGGGATGGACACTACCACACTTGCTTCGGATGCTGGATCTGACCTAGATTTTCCAGATGAGTGACCAGGTTAAAGTTTTAGGAGCAGGTCCATTCCCAAGTAACTATAAGCCCTACCTGGACCAAACTTGCATGGATGATGCATCTAGGGATGGACATGGCCACACTTACTTCGGATGCTGGATCTGAACTAGATTTTCCAGATGAGTGACCAGGTTAAAGTTTAAGGAGCAGGTCCATTCCCAAGTAACTATAAGCCCTACCTTGACCAAACTTGCATGGATGATGCATCTAGGGATGGACACTACCACACTTGCTTCGGATGCTGGATCTGACCTAGATTTTCCAGATGAGTGACCAGGTTAAAGTTTTAGGAGCAGGTCCATTCCCAAGTAACTATAAGCCCTACCTGGACCAAACTTGCATGGATGATGCATCTAGGGATGGACATGGCCACACTTACTTCGGATGCTGGATCTGAACTAGATTTTCCAGATGAGTGACCAGGTTAAAGTTTAAGGAGCAGGTCCATTCCCAAGTAACTATAAGCCCTACCTGGACCAAACTTGCATGGATGATGCATCTAGGGTTGGACATGGCCACACTTACTTCGGATGCTGGATCTGAACTAGATTTTCCGGATGAGTGACCAGGTTAAAGTTTAAGGAGCAGGTCCATTCCCAAGTAACTATAAGCCCTACCTTGACCAAACTTGCATGGATGATGCATCTAGGGATGGACACTACCACACTTGCTTCGGATGCTGGATCTGACCTAGATTTTCCAGATGAGTGACCAGGTTAAAGTTTTAGGAGCAGGTCCATTCCCAAGTAACTATAAGCCCTACCTGGACCAAACTTGCATGGATGATGCATCCAGGGATGGACACTACCACACTTGCTTCGGATGCTGGATCTGACCTAGATTTTCCACATGTGAGACCAGGTTTAGATTTAGGAGTAGTCTCGTTTCCAAGTAACTATAAGCCCTACCTTGACCAAACTTTCATGGATGATGCATATAGGGATGTACACTAACCAACCTGCTTCGAATGCTGGATCTGACCTAGATTTTCCACATGAGTGAATTTTAGCCATATTTTAACCAAATTAGCATGGATGATGTATCTAGGGATGGACACTTCCAGACTTGCCTTGGATTCTGAATCTGATGTACATTTTCCAGATGAGTGACCAGGGTAATTTTTTGGAGTAGCTATATAATATTATGGCCTGTTATGATTAAACTTGCATAGATGGTGCATCTAAGGATGAAAACTTCCAGACTTGCTTTGGATGTTGGAAGTGACCAAAATTTTCTTGATTACTAAACAGGTCAAAAGTTTTTTGAGCAGGTCTATAATTAAATCAAACTTGCATGGCCATTGATCTTGGGATGTACCCTAACTAGAAAAAAAATATGATGTGAAATTTGCCTTACATGTAGATAACATTCGTCAAGGTGAGCTTCGTAATCTTTGATTACCTATGTTTTATTATAATAAGGATGACATGGAAGCCCTTTAGACTCAAACAACACATCCCTTAATAGTACACAAATGTTCCTCTTCAAAATAAACCCTTTTCAGCTACCTTACATTTTCATGTTCGTTGCTGAAAGCGGGGCCCTCTGACATGGCCACCATCTCAATGATATCTAGTTATCGGACAGCTACAGGTAATTTTTAGCTCTACTAGTCAGAGACCAGAAGAGCTTATGCGATAGTAAGGTGTCCGTCGTCCGTCCGTCTGTCTGTCTGTCCGTCTGTTCTGTAAACAATTTTTCAAAATGCTACTCCTCCTACAGTTTTGATCTGATTTCAATATAACTTGGCACACAAGTAGACTATACTAAGATGCATAATTCTGTTTATTGGTTTTTGATTTTGATGAACGGTGTTGCCATGGTTACAAAAAATAGAAATTTCTGTGAAATACTTTCAAAATGCTACTCCTCCTACAGTTTTGATCTGATTTCAATATAACATGGCACACAAGTAGACTATACTAAGATGCATAATTCTGTATATCGGTTTTTGATTTTGATGAACGGTGTTGCCATGGTTACTAAAAATAGAAATTTCTGTGAAATACTTTCAAAATGCTACTCCTCTTACAGCTTTTATCTGATTTCAATATAACATGGCACTGTCTGTCTGTCTGTCCGTCTGTTCTGTAAACAATTTTTCAAAATGCTACTCCTCCTACAGTTTTGATATGATTTCAATATAACTTGGCACACAAGTAGACTATACTAAGATGCATAATTCTGTTTATTGGTTTTTGATTTTGATGAACGGTGTTGCCATGGTTACTAAAAATAGAAATTTCTGTGAAATACTTTCAAAATGCTACTCCTCTTACAGTTTTGGTCTGATTTCAGTATAACTTGACAAACAAGTAGACTACACTAAGATACATAATTCTTTATATTGATTTTCTGATTTCGATGAACATTGTTGCCATGGTTACTAAAAATAGAAATTTCCTTGAAATAACTTCAAAATGCTACCCCTACAGTTTTGGTCTGATTTTAGTATTACTTAGCACACAAGTAAACTACACTAGGATACATAATTCTCTGTACCAGTTTCGGATTTCGATGAACAGTGTTACCATGGTTACTAAAAATAGAAATTTTTTTGAAATACTTTCAAAACGCTACTCCTCCTACACTTTTTGTCTGATTTCAGTTTAATGTTGCATATAAGTAGACTACAGAGATACATAATTGGTGTTATTGTTTTTTGATTTTGTTGAATGATGTTGCCATGGTTACTTAAATCAAAATTTCTGTAAAATTGTTTTAAAAGGCTACTCCTCCTATAGTTTTAGTCTGATATAATAATAAATCTTGCCACAAAAGAGACTAAACCAAGGATCATTATTCTATTTATTGCTGTTGCAAAGTTTCAAGTCCAAGTGCTACTTTCATCTTCCTTTATAAATACAACCAGTAGAGCTACAGTCTCGTCAGAGACTTCTGGTTTAGATTGCAAGAACAAAGGCATGACATCACAGCAATGTTTTAATATACAATACATAGGTATGAACATAACAAATTTTTAATTTCTCAAAAAAAACTATCTATTGGTGCTTTGGTTTTTGATTGGCTAAGACAAAATAAACTGCTGGCTATTTTCCAGGGCACCATAACCTCCAGGTTAGGAAAAGACTATCATTATTACGTTTATATAAAGATTAAAAAAATTATTCAAACAATACATTTCTTATTTTGATATAATTAGTTAAAAATTCAATAACAACAAAATGTTCCAGGATACTGTAACCCAACTTTTATCCGGGTGCAAGAAAATGTTTTGAGAATTGAAAATGCCCCATTGTTGCAAACATTTCTTGTTGCGAACTAGTAATTTATTGCCTTTGGTAGATTTTTACTATTAGCAACATAGGATTGGTCACAAAAATAAGTAGCCATGAACCAGATTTTCACCAGTTAGTCACAAAATAAAGTAGTTGCGAATAAAAGTTGGTTTACTGTAATTTTCTAGTAGCTCTACTTAAAGTATATTCAATAGAGAGTGCGCAATTAATTAAGACCTTTCTGGTTTGTTTGCAGGTCTCACAACTTCTGATTGCAGTAGAGTCTGGGTTTGTAAATAAATGGAAAGGAAGGAACCTGTCAGATATATCAGTGGATGGTAAGTGAAATTAAAAATTCATCAGACAATTCCCCTTTTATAACTGAATGTCAATCAAGAATACCTACTTTTCATGTGTATAGAGATATAGTTCATCTACCTTTACATCATTTATTATAGTCTGTTAATTCTGAAATTCTAAATCCGTACAGTCAACATTATTCTTACTTAATCTTTGCTGTGGTCAAAAAATGTACTGCTTTGAAAAAAAAAAATCCACTGAAAATACTGAGAAAAAAATGATTGAGCCATAATATTGTGATTAGGTATTGCAAGTTAGCCCACATTTCAGGTCTGCCCTGTATGATAAAGTTAAGAATACTGAAAATCAGGTATTATTTATTGGTATATAATGTTGATTTCATTTTTAAAGATTTAACAGACTTGTGTTTGAGTGACCAGAAAGCCAGTGGGGTCAACAAAGATGATAGTGGAATGTACGCAGACCAAAATACAGCTGATGATGGTAAAATATATACCTTAATTTAAAAGGGAATGCAGACATTAATAGAGAATTACCAGTAGATTGTAGACTTAACCAATTTTTTTGTCATGGAAATTATGAAATATACTTTATAACAAACAGAGATTAAAAATGCATGTATTCACCTGTTTAAATTAAAAATTTAGTTTTCATTTATGGTCTGCATGCTTTTTTAAGCTTCTGCCCTGGGTGACAAAATGAAGATAACTAGAAAATCAAATATCTTGATTGGTAAATAAGGTGATTTCATTTTTAAAGGTTTAACAAACTTGTGTTTGAGTGACCAGAAAGCCAGTGGGGTCAGCAAAGATGATAGTGGAATGTACCCAGACCAAAATACAGCTGATGATGGTAAAATATATACCTTAGGCCAAAAAAATTTAATAACTTGGTTATCAGGCCAGTTTTCTCAAAAATAAATGCGGAAGGGAGGCATTTTTTTTCCCCTTTTTATCTCGTAAAAAAAAGATGCTTGATTTTTTAATTTTTTTTTTTTAATATAAATTCAAAACTAGCAACTTTTAATCAACAGTGCTTCAACATCTAGTGCAGAAATCAAGATAATTTATTTCCTGCTTTTTTTTTCTCTTGCATCTTCTACATTCCGATGATTCGTCTAATGAAAAGACGGCATCCTAAAAACCAGACGTGTTAAACTTACAGAACCCAATACTTTTAGTGATGCATCTGGTCAATTGCTTACGTAACACAACTAATCTAAGTGTTTCAGCACTATAAACAGCGCTTATGATTTTATTAAACGTCAAATTTATCAGTCTTTGGTTTACCCACACTAAATAAAATCTGCGAATCTTGCTGACGTCCGAGTTCCGAGGTTGAGAGAGCCGTCTTTGATAGCGTTATTGATCGAGTTCTAGCAAAAAAGCCTTCAGAAACCCCCACTTTGTACCGTGGAAGTACATTCCCTCATGAATTTGTACTGAAATCAATGCCATCATGACTAAACTTAATCTTGGCGCCTTATCCTGTTTACTCAACAGCCATATTTGCGATTTTTAACTAGGCCAAAAGTGTGGATCATCTTGATGTTTTTCAAACGTTTTACTGATTTCTAAAATGCAGTCAAAATGCGGTCGGGAATTCCGGATTTTTTAGCACCACACGAGCGCATGAGAGAAATTTTATTTTATTCATTTGAGGATAAAAATGGGTAATGCGCATTGTTGAACGAGATGCGGGTGGGCCTGAGAACCAAGTTATTAAATTTTTTAGGCCTTAATTTAAAAGGGAATGCAGACATCAATAGAGAATACCGGTAGATTGTAGACTTAACCCATTTTTTTTATGATTGAAATTATGAAATATACTTTATAACAAACAGAGATTAGAAATGCATGTATTCACCTGTTTAAATTAAAAATTTAGTTTTTATTTATGGTCCGCATCCTTTTTATGCTTCTGCCCTGAGTGATGAAATGAAGATAACTAGAAAATCAGGTATCTTTATTAGTAAATAAGGTGATTTCATTTTTAAAGGTTTAACAAACTTGTGTTTGAGTGACCAGAAAGCCAGTGGGGTCAGCAAAGATGATAGTGGAATGTACCCAGACCAAAATACAGCTGATGATGGTAAAATATTACCTTTATTTAAAAGGGAATGCAGACGTTAATAAAGAAAACCGGTAGATTGTAAACTTGTCCAATTTTTTTTCCATGCATGGAAATTATGAAATAAACTTTATAACAAACAGGAAATTAAAAATGCATGTATTCACCTGTTTAAATTAAAAATTTAGTTTTCATTTATGGTCTGCATGCTTTTTTAAGCTTCTGCCCTGAGTGACAAAATGAAGATAACTAGAAAATCAAATATCTTGATTGGTAAATAAGGTGATTTCATTTTTAAAGGTTTAACAAACTTGTGTTTGAGTGACCAGAAAGCCAGTGGGGTCAGCAAAGATGATAGTGGAATGTACCCAGACCAAAATACAGCTGATGATGGTAAAATATATACCTAAATTTAAAAGGGAATGCAGACATTAATAGAGAATTACCAGCAGATTGTAGACTTAACCAATTTTTTTTTATTATGGAAATTATGAAATATACTTTATAACAAACAGAGATTAAAATGCATGTATTCACCTGTTTAAATTAAAAATTTAGTTTTCATTTATGGTCTGCTCTTTTTTTTATGCTTACATGAGCCTATAATACAAATGTGGTTGTAATTTGTTCAAATGCTTTGCAATTCAAGGTAATTGATAAGTTGGTATATATATTTACAGAAATGCAAGATTAGTGACTAACATGAAGACATAAAATATACAAAATAGTTTTTAAATTATTTTCGAAGTACTTTTTCTACATGCTAAATGAGATATTAATATTACTGATGAAGTTGATATTATATACCTGTGCAACCCTAGTTAAAGTTAGGTTTCATGCAAGTTCTTTCACGATTACAGTTAATTTACCATCACTTACATGTATATTAGTGTATTCAAAATGCACCACAAATTTAGATCAGTTGCAGTTTTATCATACATGAGTTCAGTGTTTTTGAATATCATAGTTGTGGGATTTCTTAATGGGAAATTGATCTGTTTTTGACATTTGTGTAGCTGTCTTGTTGGTCTGTATTCATTTTTGTCTTTTCAAAACTTTAATCTTTCTTAGTAAGTTACTAGAATTTATATTTGATTAATTAAATCATAGAACTCTGTGAAGTTTTTTCCATTTGTTGATCTTAAAGTCTTATGCCTTGACTAATAGCCAAAGAAAAATTGAAGTCAGGCTGAAAGATAAAACTGATGGTAATTAACATTGATGATGCACTGGGATCAAAATTCAGTAAATTGTGATCATTGTTATTATCAATTCCAGTGAAGTGTGCCATTTTGCATCACGTCACGATCTTTTTCGACAGATGTGCCCAGTGTAAAAAATTCATGTCCCCGCTGTGTGATTGGTCAACTCATTTTATCAACATTGATGCAGAAATAGTCTGTTGCACAAGCAACCAATCAGAGATAAGAAGAAACTTAAACCAGTCATAAAGCTTGTGGTTAGGAGGCGTGTACTATTTACCTTGAGCGCAGCTGTCATAGTAGGTTGTAACGTAATGCAAAAGGCACACTTGACTGGAATTAATAATAACAGGTTGAAATTGGACACTATAATGAAATAAAAAATTCTTTTTATCAGTGCCTATAAATAAGCATTCATGAAATGTATATAATATGATTAGGCTAATACATGTTCACATTAAGGAGGTTGGATCCTGCCATCAAAAGTAATGAGAATTTTTTATCAAGTATATTTTTAGAATTTATACACATAGCTTTATTAAAATCAAAACAAAAAATGGGGGTCAATGCGCTTCTTTTGGCGCTACAGAGCATTTAGTTTGACCTTTTTGCACTGTAAATACGTCTTACACATAAATCAATTTTTAAAGTTTTTCCTTCAATATTTTTTGTTAAAATAAATTATAGTGAACAAACACAGTCTTATTTCATCTTAAATTGACACATTAACATTTGTAACAACGAAGAAATTTTCGAATTACTCCGCATGTTCAATTATTTGACCTTTTTGCACTCAAACATTTTCATTTTTCTGGCATTAAAATTTAACAAGCAAAAAAAATCATTTGAAAGTAATGACATTTTAATGAATTTAAGAAGAATGGTTAAAAGTATCGTATATATTCAGAAAAGAAAATTAAAAGTGGGGGTCTGTGATGTTAATTTTTAGATATTACTAAAATACTGCTAATTTTAAGCTTAAATTAGGGCTATTTTTTTCTTCATTTCCACAATATATTTTGCTTTATTTATCAAATATGATGATAGAATTCATGACAGTTTATTTAATAGATAATTTAGGAGCAGTATAAAACAGTCCACTGCACAAAATAACTATGTGTGCAGACTGCATGTAAAATAGGAATCCAAACTTAACATACTTTAAATACTTCGAAAGAGAAAAAATGATCATTTTCTTCTAAAAAACCTTCCGCCACAAAATATAGTTCCTCACTTAATGCTTTTGATATGGAATTTAATCATGGAGTTTTAACTTAATATAGTTAAATTGGCATTGTAAAATCCAAATTTATTGTAAGAATTAAAACATTATGCAGAATTTTTGAAATATAGGTTAAGATAAGAATTTGCTCAAAAGCTCAGGAGCGAACCTCGTTAACATCCAAAGGTAATCATATTGTAATGTTTCTCTTTAAGACTTGAATGACAGAGAAAATGAAAATAACAGTCAATCAAGTGCAACTAGAGACATCATGGACATTGAGACACAGTCAAAAAAAGGTATTTTATCAATACAATATAATTCCATTCTGTGTCAGTGGTAAAATACATGTATATTTCTGATTTGCTTGTTGACACATTAAGTTTTATCCCCGATACGCGAACAGCATCCCTAATCCCTAATATGAAAAAAATTGAAGACAAATAAATTTGAAACTAGGCCATCATAATTAATAATTTACATGTTTTACTTTCTTGCTTTGATAAAAAATATCAAATGTGAATGTAGGTTTTATGCAATTTATTATGCCCCCCTTCGAAGAACAACAGTTTCCGTTCATTATCTCTGCTAAGGTTGCACATATTGAAATGAAATTTTGTAGATAGGTTTATTGTATGAATATCTAGGTCAAGTTTTATTTTGGGTACGATCGAACAATTTTTGACAGAATTATGCCCCTTGGACATGGAAAAATTCCAAAAATTTGCAGTTTCCGTTCATTATCTCTGCTTAGGTTGCACATATTGAAATAAAATTTGGTATAAAGGTTTATCATATGAAATGAAATTTCATATACAGGTTTATCATATGAATATCTAAGTCAAGTTTTCTTTTGGGTACAATCGAACAATTTTTATGCGCCCGTCTTAAGACGGGACGTATTATGTTATAGCCTTCATGTCCGTCCGTCCATCCGTCTGTTAGCTTTTTCATGTCCGGCTCATAACTTTAATACTATTAGGCCTAGAATTATCAAACTTTGTCAGCTGATACGTCTTGGTTAGAAGGTGTGTCACGCATTAAAAGTAGGTCGCTCTGACCTTTAATTAAGATGCTATGGCCAAATATGGAAAAATCCTGTCCGGCTCATAACTAGAAAACTATTAGACTTAGAATCATCAAACTTGGCCAATTTGTGCATCTTAGGTAGAAGGTGTGTTGCGACCTATTTCAAGGTCACTGTGACCTTTAATTCAGTGAAATTTAAAAAAAAAAAACTGTGTCTCTATACTATTAAATTACACAGTCCCCAAAAATGTAAGAATGTTGCAGTATCCTTATTAAAAAGTGTTAACTCAAGAAAATACTTTTTTTTCATTATATACTAGTGATGGGAATCGGTAAAAATTTCATAATCGATGATCGGACAGCTGTAACTAATTAATTAAGGTCTTCCGTTTCAGACGGAAGACCTTATAGTGATTCTACTGTTTCTTCTTTTTATTATTTTTTTTTTTTTCCCCTTTCCTTTTCGGCTCGATTTCTCAGAGATGGCTGGACAGATTTTCTTGAAATTTTCAGGGATGATAGAAATTGAAAATACCCCCAGGCTTTTTTTTTTATTTTTTTCAAAATTCACTTCTGGTCGTCAGATATGTCCGATTTCCGTTTTTTTCAAAAATATTTTGTCCCAGTCATATCTCGGAAACGGTAAGAGATTAAGACACCAAACTTATATGGTAAATAGATCTTGAGGAGTAGGCAAAACCATTTGGGTTAAGAGCGTCAGCCGTCACTTCCGGTCGTCACAGGAAGTGATAATAGAAATCGAAAATTTCAACTTTTCTTTTTTGAATCTTTTTTTGCATCACTTTATTGCATTTTATTTGTAGTTTCGAAATATGTTGGACTCACCGGAAACAAAAACGTCAACTTCCGGCTATAAGCGAAAAACTGCATAATTTGAGTATTTTACTTTCCCATAAATATTTTTTATAGGTAATGTATTTGAACTGATTTTTGAATATGTTATCAAGACTGAAAATGTCTAGAGTAACGTCAAATATTCTTGTAAAATTCACTTCCGGTCGCGCGTTTAAATGTCCCCAAAATGAAAACTTGTCCGAGTGAGATCTCAGAAACTGTAAGAGATTTAGATACCAAACTTATAGGAGTTTTAGACCTTGAGGAGTAGACAAAACTATTTGGGTTAAGAGCGTCAGCCGTCACTTCCGGTCGTCACAGGAAGTGATGAAAGAAATCAAAAATTTCAACTTTTCTCTTTTGGAATAAGACTTGCATCATATAATTGTATCTTTATCACAGTTACAATATGTGTTGGTCCCACCGGAAACAAAAAACGACAACTTCCGGTTATAATAGAAAAACGACATAATCGGGGTTTTTAATTTTTCCATACATATCGCTTATAGATGGAGTTCTGTAAATGATTTTTATATATGTTATTAAGATTGCAGATGTCTAGAGTGACATGAAACAACTTAGTAAAATTCACTTCCGGTCGCGTATTTTCTTGTGCTCAAAATGAAAAGTTATTTCAGTGAGATCTCAGAAACGGCATGAGAGTAAGACACCAGACTTATTAGGAGAAAAAAAACATTGGTGAGAAGGCAAAACACATGGGGTTAAAAACGTCAGCCGTCACTTCCGATCGTCACAGGAAATGATCAAAGAAATCGAAAATTTCACATTTTCTTTTTAAAATTAAAACTTTCATCACTTTATTGCTTCTCTTTCGCTGTTTCGAAATATATTAGATTCCACCGGAAACACAAACTTTAAACTTCTGGTTTCAAGAGATAAACTACGTTATTTCGTGATTTAACTTTCTCATAAATATTACTTATAGATAAGTATTTGAAATGTTTTTAGCTCACCTCGACGAAGTTGAGATGAGCTTATGCTATACCCCCGGCGTTGGCGTCGGCGTTAGCGTCGGCGTCCCGGTTAAAGTTTTAGGAGCAAGTCCCATTCCCAAGTTACTATAAGCCCTACCTGGACCAAACTTGCATGGATGATGCATCTAGAATGGACACTGCCACACTTGCTTCGGATGCTGGTTCTGACCTAGATTTTCCAGATGAGTGACCAGGTTAAAGTTTTTGGAGCAGGTCCATTCCCAAGGAACTATACGCCCCACCTGAACCAAACTTGTATGGATGATGCATCTAGGGATGGACACTACCACACTTGCTTCGGATGCTGGATCTGACCTAGATTTTCCAGATGAGTGACCAGGTTAAAGTTTTTGGAGCAGATCCATTCCCAAGTAACTATAAGCCCTACCTGGACCAAACTTGCATGGATGATGCATCTAGGGATGGACACTACCACACTTGCTTCGGATGCTGGATCTGACCTAGATTTTCCAGATGAGTGACCAGGTTAAAGTTTTTGGAGCAGGTCCATTCCCAAGTAACTATACGCCCTACCTGGACCAAACTTGCATGGATGATGCATCTAGGGATGAACACTACACACTTGTTTCGGATGCTGAATCTGACCTAGATTTTCCAGATGAGTGACCAGGTTAAAGTTTTTGGAGCAGATCCATTCCCAAGTAACTATAAGCCCTACCTGGACCAAACTTGCATGGATGATGCATCTAGGGATGGACACTACCACACTTGCTTCGGATGCTGAATCTAATCTAGATTTTCCAGATGAGTGACCAGGTTAAAGTTTTTGGAGCAGGTCCATTCCCAAGTAACTATAGGCCCTACCTGAACCAAATTTGCATGGATGATGCATCTAGGGATGGACACTACCACACTTGCTTCGGATGCTGAATCTGACCTAGATTTTCCAGATGAGTGACCAGGTTAAAGTTTTTGGAGCAGATCCATTCCCAAGTAACTATACGCCCTACCTGAACCAAACTTGCATGGATGATGCATATAGGGATGGACACTACCACACTTGCTTCGGATGCTGGATCTGACCTAGATTTTTCCAGATGAGTGACCAGGTTAAAGTTTTTGGAGCAGGTCCATTCCCAAGTAACTATAAGCCCTACCTGGACCAAACTTGCATGAATGATGCATCTAGGGATGGACACTACCACACTTGCTTCAGATGCTGAATCTAACCTAGATTTTCCAGATGAGTGACCAGGTTAAAGTTTTTGGAGCAGATCCATTCCCAAGTAACTATAGGCCCTACCTGAACCAAACTTGCATGGATGATGCATCTAGGGATGGACACTACCACACTTGCTTCGGATACTGAATCTGACCTAGATTTTCCAGATGAGTGACCAGGTTAAAGTTTTTGGAGCAGATCCTTTCCCAAGTAACTATAAGCCCTACCTGAACCAAACTTGCATGGATGATGCATATAGGGATGGACACTACAACACTTGCTTCGGATGCTGGATCTGACCTAGATTTTCCAGATGAGTGACCAGGTTAAAGTTTTTGGAGCAGGTCCATTCCCAAGTAACTATAAGCCCTACCTGGACCAAACTTGCATGGATGATGCATCTAGGGATGAACACTACACACTTGCTTCGGATGCTGAATCTGACCTAGATTTTCCAGATGAGTGACTAGGTTAAAGTTTTTTGAGCAGGTCTATTTCCAAGTAATTATAAGTCCTTCTTAAACCAAACTTGTATAGATATTGATCTTGGGATGTACACTAACTAGAAAAAATATGATGTGAGATTTGCCTTACTTATAGATAACCTTCGTCGAGGTGAGCTTCGTAATCTTTGATTACCTATGTTTTACATATGCTGTAGATACTGCAAAAGTCAAGAGAAAATTCAGAGATTTTTATTCAGTTCACTTCCGGTTGTGTGTTTTTCCTGTAATCAAAATTCTAATTTTTTCTCACAATTGTTCGGCAACAGTAAAAGACTGAAGTCTAAAATTTTCAGAACTTATAGTCAGTCATCAGGTCATTCGCATCGTGTAAAAATTGTGTGTCATCATTACTTCCGGTTGTGACAGGAACCGAAGCAAAAAAGTATTGTTTTAAGTTATTTGGTTTCTACATAAGTTTTAGGCTAATACCGACGTTGGAAAAGATATGTTCATGCAAACAGGAAGTAGTATAACGGAAGACCTTCTCATTACTAGTAATGAGTTTCTAGTTATCAATTATAATCGGACATTTACAAAGTCTGTCAATTTAGTTTATGAAATTGTAAGAATGGGTGAACAACTACTTTCTGTGGTGGTCCAGCTGTAGTTGAATAATCTGTGTCTCGGGACAAGCCCTAGTCCTTGGGACAATATCATTTTAAAGATAGAAAGTTCTATCTAGTCCAGCTGGTTCTTCCTTCATTTTGTAGAATCCATAGTAGGTCCATACCCAGAAATGGGCGTTGTTACCCGGGTATGAATACAATGTCTGTTCGCCTGTGCCATTACAATACACAAATAAGTTAATAGACAAGTTGTGGCTTGAATATTCAGCTTAAAAACTATTACGCTTGTAAAATAAAATAAATCACCCGATTAATCAGAATAAAAAATTTGTAATTGAGCGCTTAGATTATGCCAGCAATCAACTGATTTTCGATTATAATCGATGATTGGAACACCACTATTATATACTTTACAGCAATCTATAACAAATGTAATGTTATAAGAGAAATTCCACCTCTCCCATGGGTGTAATCATCAAGCACTGGTCAAGGAGAATTTTGATAACAGAAAATTACATGTCAAATTAGAGAGAAATTAATGAGTTTAGTGTGAGGAACTAACTGGTAGAACATCTCTGATCAAGCAGGTGTTATCTATATCTCCTGGGAACTGGGCAAAGGAATCAGCGTTGAACTAAATGAATCTAGTTAGATAGCCTTTTAACTTTTATAATGAATTTGGTGAAAAGTAATTAAAACTAACTTGAAATTGTATAATAAACTAATTTGATATTATATAATGTAAGGGGGGGGGGGCATGTCTTTTTGTCTGTTTGTCAATATGAACTGCAGCTTAAAACCAGTCTGACATTAAATCTAAGAAATCATCAAGTATTTTTTTTTAAAATGTGTTATGGTAGATAGTTCCTACAAATCTAAGAGTCATGCATTAATCTTATTAAAAATAATGCATCAAGTTTACACAAGTTTTTGTTTCAACAGAATGACATGTATATGCATTTTTATTGCAATACAGACTATTAAAGCAGATAGTGCAGATCCATTCATCCCTTGGGAGTAATGAAACATGCATCCAGTTAAAGATTATAATTAATGAGTTCAATGTATAGGAAGGCTAGCTGTCTCAATCATTTCTGTTAGAGCATCTCTGATCAAGCAGCTCTTATCTGTATCCTTTGGGAATTAGACAGAAAAACTGCTTGTCAGTTTATAGCATATGTCATTTGATGGCCAGCCTTTTATTTTCAAAATTAATTTGGTATAGATTAAATTGTTAAGACTATTTTGATATTGTTTGATATGAAATTTCTATTTAATTTTTTGAAAATATCAAATAAATATGAAAGATGGGGGGGCTGCAGATGGGCATTTGTCAAGGTCTAACACAACCAGTTGAGAAATTTATTATAATTAGTGCCTGCACTACAGGAAATGTATAAACATCAAATATTATAAGGAATGGAAAAATCAAGGAAATCTTTGAATTAAGGTTGACATGATTTTCTTGCACCCTAAACTGCATGTTTATGATAATTGAACAATATTTGACGGGCATATCATGTTGTGGCGGGGCACTTTATTGACAGAGTTATGCCCCTTGGACTTAAAATTTTTTTTGACAGAGTTATGTCCCTTGCACTACTCATTTCCATACTGCCCATAATGGCTTGTGCACCCTATAATTTACGCCCAAGGGGGGCATAAGTGTTTTACAAACATGTATTGTTCCTATTTTAAAATGCTTTGGTTTGATATAAAAGAAATCTTTTTATTAGTCATGAGGTGATCTTTTTATACACTGTCCATCAGAATTGGGTTTCCTCTTTATCTTTCTACCTGTTCTTAATCAACATGATCTTGACAAATAATGTTATATATTGATAATTCTCCTTTTTCAGGAAAACGAGGTACTAAAAGAAGATGGACAAATGAAGAAACAGAGTTTCTTCGAAAGAAATTTAAAGGATACATTTTGGGCATTCAGATAAGTGTTCATCAGTCAGAATTGAAGGAGGCCCAAAAGATATGCCCAACAAGGACATTGCCACAAATAAGGGCAAAATTGAATAACATCAAGCTGGGGAAATCAACTTGAAATACTGTTTATCAGTGCTCATAATGAAATGATGAAAAATTGGAATTTTTTTGCCCCGCCATGAATATGGCCGGGCATATAGTGTTTGTCATGTCCGTCCTCTGTCCTTCTGTCCTTCCATCACACTTTGCATTTAGCTCTGTTCAAAGCTCAGTTTCAAAGAAACTATCCAAGATATTTTTATCAAACTTCATATGCTAATAGATATTGATGAGAGCTATGCAACTGCATCAACATTTTTTTGACCTTGACCTTTCCTTTGAGTTGACCTCACTTTTCTTAAACTAATGTTTAGCTTAGTTTTAAAGATACCATTCAAGATAGTGTAATCAAACTTCATATGTTGATACTTACTGATGTAAGCTATTCAACTGCATCAACATATTTTGACCTTGACCTTTCTTTTGACCTCACTTTTCTTAAATTAGTGTTTAGCTCAGTTTTAAAGATACCATTCAAGATAGTGTAATCAAACTTCATATGTTGATACAAACTGATGTAAGCTATTCAACTGCATCAACATTTTTTGACCTTGACCTTTCTTTTGACCTTGACCTCACTTTTCTTGAATTAGTGTTTAGCTCAGTTTTAATGAAACCATTCAAGATAATTTTAACAAACTTCATATGCTGATTCATACTGATGAGAGCTATTCAACTGCATCAATATTTTTTACCTTGACCTTTCCTTTGACCTTGACCTCACTTTTCTTAAATAAATTTTTAGCTCAGTTTTAAAGATACCATTCAAGATACATCTTCGCTAGCCAAGGGTTTCTGATACGCTACTCTCCTCATAAACCCTTGACATACGGTGCTGACAAAAGACGGGATTGTTTTTGTCACGTGATCACGATTCTTACCAGGTACGCACAGATTGTGTCATCGACAGAAATAAAGAGCGTTTATAAAAAAAAATGTTTTTAAAAAATAATTAGCAAGAAAGTATTGAGTTATGTTAATTTGTTATTTAAACATGTTAAAATGCAAATATACATCTTCAGTATAGATTCCTAATCACATATTAAGATATTGGATGACGCCATATAGCTATTCATAGAATGGCATGTTATCTTACGGATCGTTGTTTAAATTGCGTTTTTCATTCCCAATATTAAAGAGTCAAGGTATATCCCGAATGCAAATATCGTCGTTTATAAAAAAACAATTGCTGATTGGTTGAACGATGTCGATCAACTCCAATCACAACTTGAGAAAAAAATCCCGATTTTTTTTTTACACCGTATGCCAAGGGTTTATGAGGAGAGTAGCGTATCATAAACCCTTGGCTAGCAAAGATGTTCAAGAAAGTGTTATCTAACTTCATATGCTGATACATACTGATGAGAGCTATTCAACTGCATCAACATTTTTTTGACCTTGACCTTGACCTCACTTTTCTTAAATTAGTGTCAAACTGCATATGCTGATACATACTGATGAGAGCTATTCAACTGCATCAATATTTTTTTTTACCTTGACCTTTCCTTTGACCTTGACCTCACTTATCTTAAACTAGTGTATAGCTCAGTTTTAAAGAAACCATTCATAATATTTTTATCAAACTTCATATGCTAATACATACTGATGTAACCTTTTCAACTGCTTCGACAATTTTTGACCTTGACCTTTCCTTTGACCTTGACCTCACTTTTCTCAATTTGTGTTAAAATGTTGCATTACTAATATACATTCAGCGGGGCATTCATGTCCTATGGACATATTTCTAGTTCATTTTATGATGAACTTGTGCAGTTAATAGTTACACTAGGTTTAATTGATATCATAGTCTTGGTCCTATTTTTTTTATTCTACTTATGTATCCAATTCTTATTTTAGAATAAAAAGTCTCTTATTTAAAATTATTATAAAACTGTTCAATTAAAAGTCCTGAATTGATTATATTCTGCTGTATTATCAAAGTAGGGTGAATTGTGCATCATTAAATTTTCATTGGATTGTTCATTTTTGGGCTGTAAGATTTTAGATATAATCGTACTGGTTTATTTCTAACATAAATTGTTTTGTGGAGAATTAATGTTGAATATGCTTTTGTTTTCATGGGTCAAAAAGTGTGAATATTAAATCATTGGATATATTGTAAGGTTTCATTCCCTAATATCTCCTTTGGATCTGTTCTTTTCTGTTTGTAAGCATTGTTTGTTAATGTTTTAACAATGTTAACTTCTCAAGTACTTCTGTGACACATATCTACCAAACTTAGTGTGTTATATGGTAGGTAAACAAGTAGGAGTGATATTGTCTTGCATTCAAGAATGGAGAAAACAATGTTCTAAATTCTTGTTTGAAAAAGCTAGGAAACTTTACAAAGTTGTTGAAGTTTATTACTCCTTATTTTAAAAACATTTATTATTTTATGCTTCAGCTAACAAAGTTTGGAGATTGTAATGGAATTGCAATGTCTATCCATCTGTTTTGTTTAAATAAGTTTCAAGAGTATGCTTTTTATATGCTCATGCTATTTATGTGATATGACCAATTTTCTCTTTGCGGGTTTATTTTTACTCATGGACTTTATCCTTTTCAGGAAAAATCTTTTAGTGACATGATTGTCTCAAAAGATGTATGTGAAGGTGTAGGGGGAACAAATTGGTAATATAACAGTTACTATAATGTCTGTTTATCCATTTACATGTTTCATTCCATTTGTTTCTCCCTCCGTTTGTCCTTATTTTCATTTTGATCCATAAATTTTTGAAGGTTTTTTGGGACAAGTGAATGGCTATATCCATTGTCGCATCAATTGGACGCTTATATAAAATGAGGGCCCACAGAGGGTATTAATCCTTTTCGGACAGTTCTGGTTTATATGGATTAAATTTTAAAGGTTTTGACCATGGTTACATTGATGTTATAATTTGACATCAGTCATAATATGAAAAGATTGATAGTTAATCAATCTGTTCTGTTCTATGGATTTTTTTAGGGCCCACAGGAGGTATTAATCCTTTTCAGACAGTTCTGGTTTATATGGATTAATTTTTTTTTAAAGGTTTTGACCCTGGTTACAGTGATATAATAATTTGACATTGGTCATAATATGAAAAGATTGATAGTTAATCAATCTGTTCTGTTCTTTGGATTTTTTATGGTTTGTTTATTACTACCATAATGTGTTTTGCTTTATTAAAGATATTCAGAAATAGATTAAACTTTATATTTCATTTATTAGGGCTCTGCAAAGTGGGTGCCCTACATTGATCAGTTTGTCCATCCGAGATCACTTGTCTGGAGCATATTTTTCTCTCTCCTGGGCCCAATCTGGCTCAAACTTTACCCACAGAGTGCCTTTGGGTAAAGGGTGTGCAGTAACCTTGAACCAAGCTTTAAGTTTCTTGGTCTAAGGTAAAGGTCATACATAATTATATAATTTAATTTTGTTTGTATTCTAGCCTCTGATTGGTTAATATCCAAAAAGGAACACAAATTATTTCTGTATAACCTGGTTTGGTACGGGGACACACCCCCCTGACAACCAGCTGAATCATCTGTATCCATACTGTCCTCTCATTTCCAGTCCTCGGGATTCATAGAAAATTCCAGATTTAATAAATGTACCTTTAATTTCAAACAATAATTCGATCTTACCACATGTAACCAAACAACATGGCTGCTAGGCCTATGTATCAGTTTTTACCTCCCCTCGATTCCCATCACTTCCGTTACTATGGTTGTATTATTGAGCGGCAAATTTGAACTAATAAAAAATAACGAAATTTTACACCCATAGTTATTTAATGATTTTAAAATTAAATTATAAGGAATGACTCTAGTTCTTGGCCAAATTATTCGAGTATAACCTGGTTTGGGTCAGTTTACGCTGTTTTATAATCCGCTTCGCGGATTATAAAGCGTAAACTGACCCAAACCAGGTTATACTCGAATAATTTGGCCAAGAATTAGAGTCATTCCTAAAATAACAAAATCCTTATCCAGATCATATATTCTCCCCTCTTTGTGCAATCTGGCTCATAGTTCACTAACAGAGTGCCTTTGGTCAAAGGGTGTGCAGTGATCTTAAAGTTTCTAGGTCAAGGTCATATGAAACTACCTTTCAAAAAAAATTCCAGATAAAGTATTCTCTCTCTCTCTTATCCTTATCTGGCACATACTTCACAAAAACAGAGCTTTTAGGAAAAGATTTTGCAGTGACCTTGAACCATATTTCTAGGTCAGATGTGAATGTCATGGCTGGTATCTTTGAAATCCAGTTTTTGGACCTAAAATTCTTCCATTTGGCTTAATCTTGCTCAGATTAATCAAACAAATGCCTAAGAGGTTAGCTATGAGTTTGAATTAAAGTTTTACGCCAACTGGAAAATTTTCAAGTCGTAGGTTAAGTCTCTGAAATCCTTATGTCCAATATTTAAGCAGGGCCCTATGAGATGGTCACCATCTCAATGATTATACATTTGAACATGTGCATACAAATATTACCTTTAAAAGAGAGGGGGGAAAATCGTATATAGAGTAGGGGCAAGCATTAACATAAATTCTTGGAAAATTAAATCAAGTTCTGGAAGTGTTGATAAGAATTACCGGTATTACTTATCCTGTTTGTTACAGTCCCTGAAACGTTCTACTTTCCCATTTTTCCGTTCGCTCACCGTTCGTTCAGCGTGCGTTCACCGTTCGCTCTCCGTTCACAGTTTTGCGTTCATCGTGCGCTCGCGTTCACCGTTCACAAAGCGGTCACCGTTCGCTCTTCGTTCGTTCACTTTGCGTTCATCTTGCGTTCAGCGTACACTTATCGTTCAGTCTTTATTGTCATTCGGAACTCCGAAGTGAAAGGACTTATCTTTTTTTAAGTAAGGATTTACAGGTTTTGAATTTAATAATAATCATATCGTGTTTAAAGATTCATTATTTCATGGGGAAAAAATTCTCGACAATATTTATTTTTATTATTCTAACTTAGCTGTTAGGTTATTTATTAAATTTATCTGGAAAATAAATGTTGTTATAAGTACATGTATGTAC